GCTCGACGCCACCACGGACGAGGAGAAGCTAGGCGCCTGGAGGCTTTTCCTCGTTTTCGATCGGATGCTTTTCGGGGAACTGTTTGAGCAGGGCGAGGTGCAATCACGCAGCGTTGTGGACAGAGTGGCTGGCCGCCTCCAGCTCTTTTGAGACGGCCAGCGCCATGCAATACTGTAGGACACAGCTGCATCCACCAGAGCCGCAGCGGGCCCCAGCACCGTGGACACGATCGCCTGGAAGGTCCGCCAGCTCCTGCTGAGGGGCGAGATGTCCCGGGCCGCTTCAGCAGCGTGGGGACCTAGCCGGCAGGCTACAGCTGCGGGCGCGATCCGGGCGTTCGGGCAGCAGCGGCACCCGCCGCAGCACGACCCGCAACACAAACCCTGGGGAGCGCCTCACCCTGTGGCGGCCGCGCGGCTCCGAGAGGACGCCCAAGCCTACTTGACGAACAGGTGGGCAAGGGCTCCCCGCGGCGCCGGCGCGGGGGCGCAGGGCGACCGCTTCGAGCACTGGCAGCCGGTCGCCCACCTCGAAGCACGAGGCGCGGCCACCGCAGCAGTCCTCTCGCTGCTTCTAGGCGGCGCCGTCCTGGCGAAGGCCTCAGACGTGGCTCTGGCAGGCAACTTGCTGGGCACGGCCAACCGGGACGGTGGTGCACGAGTGGTGGCGTGCGGGGCCATTGCACGGCGCATGGTGACCAAGGCCGTGTGCGCCATGCGATGCGACAACATCCAGCGGGCTGTCTCCGAGATCCAGTACGGGGTCGGAGTGCCGTGCTCGAGACGCTGCACAAGAGCATTTCCGCGGATGCATAGCAGTGCTCAGACCTGGCCTTCGTGTCGCTGGACCTCAAGAGTGCGTTCACCCGCATGCGCCGGAGGGTTGCGCTGAGCTGGGTGCGGGAGCGCTGCCCAGAGCTAGAGAGCTTAGTGACGCAGTGGTATGGCCATGCGACAGTACACTCAGCTGCGGGCTCTGGCAGGGTGTCCCGCCTGGTGGAACAGCAGGCTGGCCTCGACCAAGGGTGCCCACTCAGCCTTGCGCTCTTCAGCATCTGCCTCGCTTCCGAGCTCTGCGCCCTGCGGGACCTCCTCCGCACCCTGGACCCTCGCTGCAAGGCGTGTGCTTACCTGGGCGACGCCTACCTCACTGTGCCGGCCCACCTGCACCTGGCGCTGGAAGCCGCAAGCGCTCTCCTCGCCGACCTGGGCGTCGAGCTGAACGCGAACAAGACGGTCTGATGCCCTGACGGCCAGGCTGCGGCGCTGCCCGACGGGGCAAGGGCGTGGGTCGTGGACGCCTTGCCTTGATTAGGCATCACCTTGACTTTAGTGAGGGCCCAGCACGACGCAGACGACGACGAGCGTCGGGATACGCTCGCGGAGGTGCTCGACGAGACCTCCCAAACCACTCCTGCAGCACGGCTTGCTGACTACGTGGGGTCACTCGCCAAGCCGGAAGCGGTTGGGCTCGAGAACCAGCACTGATTCACCCTCCTGCGGACCTGCGCGAACGGCGCGGTCACGCACCTGCAGCAAACCCGCCTAGCACCAGAGGGGCCGAGTCCTGGATGGCGCGGATGGCAAACAGCAAATGGTCCTTTGTCTCGTCCACATATTTGCACAGTGACATATCATCATCCATCGGCGTTCCATCCTCACGTGGTGGGCGGCGGGCAGGGCAGCTGCCATCGGAAGGGCCGACGCTTGTAACACCAGCGCGCTCAGGAACAAAACGTCCAGCACGATCGCGCTGACCCCCGCCAGTACGACCCGTCGCAGGCCTACGGTGCTCCCCTAGTGTGGCGCCTTCGTCAGCTGACGCAAAATCAGATCTATCTCCAGGGATGGCGAGCTTGGGCGAACGGCAGCGACCTTCACCTCCTCCGCCGATATTTCCTTCAGGGAACGTCGGCGCGACCTCGAGTTCTGCCGCCAGAGCTTCAGCCTGCTTCTGGTCCATGATGCCATCCATGGCACACACGCTACGCAGGTAGGATTGTCAAAATGGGAGCTAGGAAAAGCGATGCCAAAACGTGCCCCACGGTGCCCGAAAGCTCCCGTGGGGATCGTGGGTGCAAAGCTGAAGGCTCTCGAGCGCTTGCGATCAAGCTGAAGCCCCCAGGGCCCCGAAGTTTCAACGTGAGCCAAATGGCTTTAGCCAAATGGCAACAGACCTCCTCCTCTGCCGCCTCCTCCTCCTCCTCCTCCTCCTCCTCCTCCTCCTCCTCCCTTCCTCCTCCCCCCTCCTCCCCTCGCCCCCCACCCCCCGTGGGCCCAAGAGATGGCCTGAAGAGACCCTCCAAAGCCACCCCTTTGCTCCCAGAGATACCTCTGTTCATCCTGGTTGCGCGCTTTGTTTCACTATATATGTCTCTTCGCCACATTCCCCGTTAGCTCTCTTGCGCAAGGTTTCTGAACGGGCTGGTGGAAATTTTACCGTCGCGGCCACAGGCGAAGGCGCCCGCAGCGGGTCGAGTCGGCTCGGGCTACGAGCGAACCTAATTGCCGGCGCGCGCGCAGAGGAAAGCATGACCTACCGCCGGGGGAAGCCGCTGCGCCGGGGGACTGCAGCTGCGCTGGGGGCCGTGCTGCAACCGCCGAGGCTGAGAAACAGCGCCGAAGGTGGGGACTGCAAGCTGCTGGGGCTGCCAAGAAGTTGCAAACGTGCGGGTACCATGTGAGCTGAATCACCAGGCACGTGAATTGGACCTTGTCGCCACAGGGCGCCAGAGGTCTGGGCAGCGGACCGACAGGTGACACGCCTGGTCGTTCAAGAAGGCTGAACCACTCCTGAGTGAACCGGCGGGCCAGAATCCCATAGGGCCAGCAGACAAGAAACCAGAACCCAAGGAAGTGCAAGCACTCGTGCCAGAACTGGTCAGAACGCACGTCGCCTGAACGCCAGGGTGCCTCGCCCAGCTTCACGGAACCAGAATGAGTGCCAAAGGCGCGAGGGACTGAGCGGGGTCGCATACACCGAGGGCCGAGGGGACCTGAGCCCAGGAGCCTGCGACGAAAGGAGCAGGGCCAGGGAAACCGAGCCAGGCCGTGGACAGGTCCGAGCAAAGGCCAGGGTGAGCCAGACATAGCCAGGCTGTGGCGGTGACTGGGGACCAGAGGCCAGGGAAGTGCAAGCACTCGCGCCGGAACTGGTCAGAACGCACGTCACCTGAACGCCAGGGTGCCTCACCCGACTCAACGGAGCCAGAATGAGGCAAAGGCGCGAGGGACGGAGCTTTTTTGGGGGATCCTGTCCGCTGTTGCTTGCCAGCTGCTGCAGCTGCCCCAGGCCAAGCGCACTGCGGGCAAGTCGAAACCGGCTGCAGCAGAGAAGCACTCGCCCAGAGAAGGCGCCAGAAACCAGCTGGAGCAAAGAAGGGCTCGCAAGTCGAGGCCTGGCTGCAGGAGGCAGCGGCTGCCCGGCGGAGGCGCCAGCCATTCAAACGACCGAGACAGCCTGGCTCTGCAGCGGGCGCGCACGTGGAAATCACACGGCCATCCTTTCGTCCGGCCCGATTCTCACGACACCTGGGCGAAAACACAAAACTGGCGTAACGCGCGGTCGACCTGCGGCTTGGCAAATGGGAGACGTGTCCTGAAGGAAGAAGCCCTGGACCAAAGGCCGTCTCCAAGAGCCACATCCTCATCCTGAGACCCGGTCCACCACCCCCCCCCCCCACCTCCACCCTCCTCCCTCCTGGGCAGGCGCGCTCAGAGCAGGATGGCCCTCTCGCCGACAGGGCGCGCGGAGCCCGGGGCCCTGGCACCCTGCTCGAAGCAGGAGCCCGGCCCCGCGGGCGCCGCCCGGGCCTGCGCGTTGTCCACGGGGGCAGCGGCCACGCCCCGCTGCAGCAGCAGGCACCGGAAGGCGCGGATGCGGGGCAGGACCTCGGCCACGTCCTCGGTCTGGGAGCGGCCGCTCCAGAGCTTCTCGGCGATGGCCGCCAGGCGCGGCCAGACCGTGCTCTGCAGGTCCGAGCCATCCACGGTCTCCCCCCACATCTCCCCGTGGCCGCCGAGAACGCGAGCGCAGAGCTCGTCGGTGGGTATGCCGTGGCAAGGGTCGTTCCGGTACACCGCGTCCCACTTGATGTTCAGGTAGTCGAGGTACCACGGCTTGTCTCCGGTGGCCACGTTGATCAGGACATCGTAGCCGTTGGCGACGACCTCGGTCACATTGGTGACGCCCTTCCAAATATGAACGATGGTCTCCTTCGGAAGTGATGCCTTAAAGTGGTCGTAGACTTCCGACCACTGCACGGGGCGGTGACCACGCTGGATTACCATGGACGCAACTCGCTTGGCAAAATAGGCGTAGCCCTCGTCAGCTGTGAGGTTGCGCTCCTGAAGCCAAGACGCCACCGACGGCGTCTTGGTCCAACAGGATGTATTTACTTCGTCGCCGCCCAAATGTACGAACGAATCAGGAAAGAGCCCAGACGCATCATGACTCTTTGAAGATCCCGTGCCCGCAACCTCGGAGATGAGGCCTTCGATAAGGTTGAATGTAGCTTCAGAGGCCACGTTCAAAGGCATCTGACAATCGGCCGCTGGACAGATCTCAGGGTAACCGATGCACCAGCTCGCCGCGTGGCCAGGCACGTCGAACTCCACCATCACCCGCACTCCGCGCAAGCGAGCGTACTCGACAACAGACTCTACATCGGCTTGCGTGTACCTCTCCACTGCAGAGTACGAGCCTTCCCAGAGCTTGGGGCTGCTCTTCGACTGGAAGGGGAAGGACTGCTGATCGACCATGTGCCAGTGCAGCACGTTCAGCTTCGCATACGGCAGGGTGTCGATGATCTGCCGAATGGACGGCAGCGACAAGAAGTGCCTTGCCGAATCGATCATCAGCCCGCGATGCGGGAAGCGGGGCCGGTCCTGGATCACCCAGGGCGCCCCGTCGACGACGTAGGCGCCGCGATCGAAGTCGAATCGCACGAGCTGCGAGAAGGTCTCGAGGGCCCGCAGCGCTCCGAACACCGTCCTCGAGCTCGCCACGGCGACGCCCCCCGCCGAGGGCACGGACAGGTTGTAGCTCTCGTCCGTGGACACCTGCGGGTGGGCCTCGCCGAGCACCCACACGGAGAGGACCAGGCCGACCACCGCCCCTGCCCGGCTGACGGGCGTGGCCCCCCCGGCGTGCGGGAAGGTCAGGGCCGCGTAGCGCTCGAAGGCGGCCTCGAGCAGCGGGCTCTCGCCGTGGCCGCCGAGGGAGAAGAAGTCCGGGCCCGGCGCCACGGGCACCGCCGCGGAGCCGCTGGCCGCCTGCCGCGGCTGCGGCCACACCGCGGTGGGCGGCGCCGGTCCGGCGGCGCTGGCGGCGGCGATGGCCGCGGCGAGGGCGGCGCTGAGGGCGGCGCGCGCGGGCGGCATCGAGGCCTCGCACAGGCAGACTCGAGGTTCGGATCCCTTCGGCGAGCCGCGGAGGCGCCTCGAAACGAAATGGCTTGAGCCAAAGGCTTGAGCCGAAGGCTACGGAGGCTGGCTGGTGGGGATGCGCGAAGCATGAAGAATCAGTGTAACTCTTTCACCGCGCCCCCCTCGGCTCTTTGCGCTGCGTGCCAGCCGCTCTTCAGTTTCTCCTGGCTCCGCAGCCTCTCTTGCTCCTCTCGCCCGTCCCCGTCCTCTGTCTTGTCGTCTCTCGTCCTGGTCTGCTTGCCAGGAATCGGGGTGTCATGTCTAGACTTCGCAGGAACATGCAGGGGACGCGCAAAAGCGGCGCTGGCTTCTGCGGGATCGCTTGCCCAGCAAGGTCGACGGGCCCACCTCCTCCTCCATTCCTTTTCCTGATCGACAACAATCCTCTGTCGCGCGCCGAGACGTGTCGGTAGGGCGGGCTGGGCGTCTCGCCTGAGACTTTCTGACCGTTCTGGGATTCTGAAGCTTTAAGTTTGCGGCAATTTCACGGGTTTGGGGCCCTTCTCAAGAGGTGGCTCTTGCCTTATCGCCACACGCATGCGTCTTCGAAGTTCGCGGGAACTTCATGGACAAAGGACGGTTCCTTTTCAAAATGTGCTTCCCGCCCCAAACGCCGCGACAATTCGCACTTGCACGAGCTTCGCGGCTGGAGGGCTGGTCCTTTCAAAGTGGGGCTCTCGCCTCAGCGCCGCACGCATGCGTCATAAAAGCTCGCAGCTACTTAAGGAATGGGGGGCGGGTGGTTTTAAAACTGCGGCTCTCGCCTGAGCGCTGCGCACACTCATCTCAAACAACGGCACGAGCTTTACGGATTGGGGGCGGGTGGTTTTCAAAATGTGACTCCAGCCTTAGCACCGCAGGCATTCGTCTTCAACGTTTGCATCCGTTTCACGGGTGGATGGCGGCTGTTTTTCAACATGGGGTTCTCGCCGTAGCGCCGCACACATACTTCTCAACAATTTGCCAGAAAGCTTCACGGACGGAAGGCGGGTGGATTTTAAAATGTGACTATCGCTGTAGCTCCGCGCACACTCGCCTTAAACGTTGGCAAGATCTTCACGGATAGCGGATTCTTTGCAAAATGAGGCTCTCGCCTTAGCGCCGCGCGCACTCGTCTTACACATTCGTAACAGATTCACAAATGGAGGGTGGGCTCTTTTCAAACTGTGGTTCTCGCCTGGCGCCGCGCAAATTCGTCCAATGTTTGCAGCAGTTTCACGGGCGGAGCGCGGATGGTTTTCAAAGTGTGGTTCTCGCCTTAGCGCCACGCGCATTCGTCTTCAAAGTTTGCATGGGCTTCCCGGATGGAGGGCGGGTCGTTTTAAAGATGTGGTTCGCGCATTAACGCCGCGCGCATTCGTTTCAAAAATTAGAACCCATCGACGGGTTCGTTTGGTTGGAGCCAGAAAAATGGTGTTCCGGCACGATTAAGGATTGCCAGGTCGCAGCAGCCCGTCTGATTCGCGGTGTTCTGGCACGGTGCAGGATCGTCAGCATGCAGCAGTAAAGTTATCCGCGGCGATGAAATTCAAGGAGTGGTGTTGTGGCACGATCGAAGATTCTCAAAGGGCTGTCTTACAACGGCGCCGTTCCAGCAATGACCATAAAATCTTGTAGGGACCTATGACGGGGAAAACTTGGAGGAGGATTTATTGCAACATCGTTTACGCGCCTTGGCTTTGCACTGGTCCTCCTTCTCGTCCTCCTCCTCCTGGGCTTGGCCGCCAGCGTTGTTCAGAGGCCAGCAGAAGCACGCAGGGACCGCCTTTACTTCTGGTGGTGCTTGCTGGTCTGCCTCAGCCCTCTCTTGTTCAAGCGCAGGAGGAGGAGGCGGAGGGTCAGGAGGGAAAGAACAAATGGGCACTGTGAGAGTTGATCAGGTGTCGAGCACACGTGGCGCCCTTCTCCTCCAAACTGCGAGTAGTGATCAGGCGCCGGGCACACCCAAGTGATAGATAGTTATCGCCTTCCCCACCTCGCGAGCTCCTACCCAAACGTCCCCATGACACCCCCCTTCCTCCTCTCTCTTTCACCGCTGCCTTTTTTGCAGTCTGTGCGAGTGCAGTGGCAATCCACCTGCGTGTCAAACGATGATCAGAGCACGGCGCGCGCCAGGAATTTGTTGTTTGCAGCTGGTCCTCTGCTCCAGCCCCACCTGCACTCCTCCCATATTGGTTTGTAAATCCAGGGGCCCGCGCACGGCTTCCGCAGGCCGGAGACAACCCAAACCCATCCGTCTGAACTTTCTCACGACGTGGGAGGTCTGTGAGCCTCTCTCCGTACCCATGCATCCCGTCGGCCTCCACCCGAGGAGCAGAAAGAGGAGGAGGAGGAGGAGGAGGACGACGACGTCGAGGAGGACGAGGAGGAGGCCCAATGTCAAGCCTAGATGCATCAATGATGCTGTAATAAACCCTCCCTCCAGATTCCCTCTTTATATAGGCCCTACAATATTTGATTTCTTTGCGGGAGGTGGCCCGTTGGAAAACATGGGTCCGAGAATCCTCAATCGTGCCCAACCACCACTCCTGGGACGTCAACGCTGCGGATCAAGGCGGCTGTTACGTCCTGACAATCCTAAATCGTACCAGAGCGCCGTTCCTGGAACTTCAACACCGAGAATGAAAGTGTTGTTGCATCCTGACAACCCGAACGCATGCCAACAAACGCATTCCGGTGACTTCACCATGACAGACCTTGAACCCGATGTAGACATTTAAAAACGATGGCGCGCGGCGCTAAGGCGCGAACCATACTTTTGAAGAACAGTCGCCCTCCATCCGTGAAGTTGTCGCACTATTCAAAAAGATGCACGGCGAGAACCACAGTTTGAAAAGGAGCGGCCTTGCATCCTTGAAGGTGTTGCACATGTTTCAACTGAGTGTGCGCGGCGCGACGGCGAGAACCACATATTGGGAACCATCCGTCTCAATCCGTGAACCTGTTGCACACGTTTAAAGCGTCTGAAGCAAAAACAACATTTTGAAAAAAAAACATGTTCTCCACCCGTGAAAGTGTTGCAAATCTCAAGCTCTAGGATCCTACATGGTGACGAAGTGTAAAGGGGAAGCGCCCAGCAAGTACCAGGACAACTCGTAAAACAGGAGCCCGAATAAATGCGACGCGAGGCCCAGTTGATACGTCAGTTGGTTGCGCGACACGTGCATTGAACCCCAAACCACATATACCACGGATGAATACCTCATCGGACCATGTGAAAACCAGCAAGCTCAGCTGAGATGGTCCCAACTCGATACGACCCATACCAAGACACCTCAGATCAACGGGCAACCTCGAAAGAGATCGCCTACCCCACTAACAACCTTGCAACTGCCAGAACAACAATTAAACAACTTCGTTTCTCCATACCTGTCCAAGCTGAAGGACCGTGACAGTATGTACGGGACACCTGAAACAAGAAACGGGCAACATGGCACTCGACCGAAACACATGATAACAGCGTTGCAACATGAAACGTAGCATCCAATCCCATTGAAACCACAATATAATCATGCAAGTCTCAGAATACGGACGGCCGGCACGTCTCATCCAAGCAGATCAAGCGAAGGCGACATGCCAAACTAATGGAAACAATGGCCTCTACAAAAAGCTCGGTTCAAACTACGGACGGCCGGCACGTCCCCATCCCACGAACCAGAACAGCGCCAAGCATTGACAGTAAGATATTGAAATACGATCTGACATGCTGCATTATCTGCTTCTTGCCACCGCTGGCCATGGCAACAGTGAACGTGATGATACGCCAAGGGGCCGCGTCTTGCTCCCACCTGCCTGCCCGTTACCACCAACATCTCTTCTCGCGCGCGCTGATCCGAGCATTGTAGCTCATGCGATCGGCTTCATCGCCTACCCATCTGGCCCTGCAGCGAGAAGCCGATGCCTCTCTTCTCGCACGTGCTGGAGAAATCGTTGTAGCTGCTGACGGGCGGCGCAAACTTCGGCTCCCACGTGCCGTTCGGCCGCGTCTGAGCACCCCAACTCTGCTCGCCGTGCTTCCATGCGCCCAGTGCGGTACTGTAAGAGAGGATGACAGAGTCTGATGATCCAAACGTGCGCACCAACAGCATAATGCGAGACCACAAGGAGCAAAGCAGAAGTCATTGAGACCATTCACCACGAGTATTCCTTCACCTCGATTTAGCCAACCCGAACGACTGCGCACACGGCCCAGATGACAAGTTGCCACTCCAGCGCCACGTTGAATCATCGAGGTGCGACTCATGTCCAAGCGATAAGCCAGAAGGGGCCAACGGAAAGGACGGAGCCGCACGTGCTTCAGAGAAGGAAAAGGAGGAGGAGGAGGAGGAGGAGGAGGAGGAGGAGGAGGAGGAGGAGGAGGAGGAGGAGGAGGAGGAGGAGGAGGGGGAGGAGGAGGAAGAAGAAAAAGAGGAGGAGGAGGCGGAAAAGGAGGACAAGGAGGACGAGGAGGAGGAAGGAGGAGGAGGGGCGCTCTCACCAGAAAAGGGACGAGAATAATGCGGGCGGTCAAGAGCGGGACGAGACGAGGGTAACAGGGTCGGGCAGCGGCGGCGGCGGCGGGCGCGGTCCTGCGGGACAATGAAGGTCGACATGCAACCGACGAGGCAGACGGCCAGGGTCGGACCCCGCCTGAACCTGACCGAAGGTGTCTGCCAAGTCGGGCTGGCGACGTACAAGTTGTAAAACACGGGCGCGAGCACAAGCATGCAAAACTGGAACGGATACTACTCTTGAGATGTGTTTCAAATATGATGACAGGAACTAAACACGATATCAAAAAGAAACACAGCACTGCACGGGGCCTCTGTGGGGATAGGGTACAATTTGCGAACGGAGAGTTTATCGGCAGCACCTGCATACAGGGAAACATTGGGAAGGAGGGGGAGTTGGAGACAGAATGCGTAATACCTCGGGCAATCGAGCAGGTGATGAATGGTGTCGCCCTCAGGGCACCTACACCCGATGCACGAATGGGTTGGTCCACGGAAGCGACCAGTACAGGTCCAACTGTTACACGGGGTCTTAAGGAGGATTGAGAGGGTGCGCGCTGGGACCTCCTCCGAGCTCTGAAAACTGATTAAAGTATGTTATACGCCTACGGGCGTCGCATCGGGATCATTCTTGATAAGACGAGCCCCCAACATGCTCTGGAGTCCTTCAGGGAAATATCCTTGAGGCGCCTCATAACCGCAGCCTGAACCTTTGGGACCCCGCGTGGGGCATCAGGGATAGCACGCAAGGCGCGGTTGTTCTCGATCTGGCTGCGCGTGGCACTGCTTTTCCAAGCGGGATGAAAGCGCCATGCAATGCAGCAGTCGTGGGAACTCTCGAAGCTCGCGAGCAGAGTCTCCGCGTCGATGAAAGCAGGTACTCGCTCAGCAACTCTGAAGCGAGAAGCTTGACTGATGAGCTTGACCTGGTCGGCCTCAATCGGAAATCCTAAAAACTTCAGGTTCTGAGAGGTCTCCGAGAGGAAGCTGTTGAAAGGGCCCCGGACGATGACCTGGATCATCTCATTCTCAGTTTTCAAAAGGTGGGCGGAGGGGGGGGCGAGCTGCCTCGCGCATCCCAAGACGGCTACACGCGACATATTGTAATGACTGATCGAGTTGACCAGCCCCGGGCCCAGGCTTCGGACTCCATGCGTCCTGGCGATGCACTTGCTAGTCGGGAGCTTCCACCTCTCCTCCTGGCAGTCGAGGCCGAGCATCGCGCCTAGGCGCCGCGCATTAGTGGCAACCTGCAGCCCGCGAGCAAGACTGCCAATATGCTGGATACAGGCTATGAAGTCGGCCTCGGAGAACCCCCCCGCGAGTGCAGCGAGAGTTCTCTTGATGTTCAGGTGGGGCCCGAAGCCGGCCCCCGCTGGAACCCAAATGTCGATGGCGATCGAGTAAGCCTCAGGAAGACAACTGCTGGCTAGATCGCAATCATCTGCGCGCGCGCCGACTTCGTGAAGGGGCGGGGGAACATGGCCGCCGGCAGCCGACGGATGGGGTCGTAGACGAGGGCGAACAGGGGCCCCGACATCGGAAAACTTGTTGAATTCCCCGACTCAGGAGAAACCCGCGCTTCTGGTTGCCTCAGAAGGAAGCCGAGACGAACGCTCGGCGGTGCGTCGCCTCCAGGGCGCGCCGGGAGAAATCAGGGAAATCCATCTTGCCTAGCGCGAGCCAGAGGGCCTGGTGGAGCAGACTCGGGGAAGCCGCCTTAACGTCGAAGAAAATATGCCCACTCATCTGCGCATTTAGCTGCATTGGCCAGACGCGAGATCCAGAGTGTTTCTGAGCACTGCCGACCGCGGACGAAGCCGCGTCGTTGTCCCGGGGCGACGCGCCGGCACGCCAGGGAAAGCAGGGAGTTCAGGGCCGACGAGATGATTTTGTTGTCGGCATTAGATAAAGAAATCGGTCGCGTCTTCTCTGGCGGCCTAACAGACTGCGAATCGTCGGACACGTCGCCCTTGGCGAAGAACACTGCCATGGTGTTTTTGAAATTGAGGGGGGCGGAGTCAACCCGAAGTATGTCGAGGTGGAGCGAGCGCAGGGGCTGCGCAGCAAAAGGGCCGGCCCTCGACCAGCCAGAAGGCGGGGTGCCGTCTGGGCCGGGTGCGCTCTCAGTAGGCGTTCCATGAGATTTTGAAAGCGGTCGGCGCCCAGGGTCCACCGAAATTCAAGAGGAACGGTTTGAAGAAAATGCTTCGAAACACCTGAGGGCATCGCGGGGGCTATCTGAGCTGCAGCGCGCCTGGCCCCAGCACCTAGCGAGCTCGCGGCAGCGCTCGCCGGCGTCGACGAGCGTGGTGCCAGAGGGGTCAGCAATCGCACCCAGCCCGTTCTTGTGTTGCCGCGACCTCCATGCACTCTTGTAGGCGAACGGGGAGTTAAGCTTGCTCTGCCTTGTTGCCCCGTGCATCCTCTTGTCCCCCCTCGCTTCCTCAATGTCGCGTCGATGGATTCATTATGAATGCCTCCGAAGGACGCATGAAACCGAGCATGATGAACCGGCCTACGCCCTTGCCGATCGAAATATTCTCCAAGAGCAGGGAAGGCCCGCGAGGCCCGATTCATAATGGCAAAGTTGCAGGAACGAGAGGCCCGAAGGGCCGCAAGAGTCCAGGGCAATTTGCCCGCCTCTGAACGGACTCCAACTTCGCCAAGTTCAGTTTCGAGAAGAAACGCGAAAACAATCTCGAACTTCAGTGGCTGCCTCCAGGGGGACCTCGGAGACGACGCCCGCGCCCTCCGGCACTTCGCTGACCTCCGCGGGATACTTCGGGCGCTTAGTGGCCCAGGGCGGGACCCCCCGGGGCCTCGAACGGCTGGGAAGATAGCGCGACGAGAACATGATCCGAAAGCTCGCCCATGTCAGCAGGTGCCCCCGGGGCGCGAGAAGCCGCGCAGAGGTCGCGAAGGTCCCTGGGGAGCAAGCAAGTATATATCCGATCAGATCGGGGAAGCGAGACAACATAAGGACGCTCATCTCTCCAGCCTTCAACGCGATTGGTGTAAGAGGCCTGATCAACCTCCGGCGCGCGAGGATAATGCTTCTCGAACTCATTGGCGGTCGAAGGGCCGCTCAATATCGCGCGCCCAGCATGGTGGCGGCTGCCCGCGCCGCGCGCCAAAACATTGAAGTCCCCCAGCATCAACTGAGTAGCATGAGCAGCGCGGTGAAGGGCTCGGCGGACGCGACGGGGCTGCTGCCGTTTGACGACGGGGCGATACGAATGTTCGAGGTGTGCGTTGACGATCTGCAAACACTCGTGCCGGTCATGCAAAGTGATGCTGCGAATGCGCCCGCGCTCGATCACGCGGTGCTCGGCGTGCGTGAAAAAGAGCTTGAAACCGAGGGTGAGCACGTGTCACGCGCCCGCCAGAGGTGGTCAAGTCGAGGAACATGCTGACGCCGAATATTTGATGCACTTCTATGCGAACGAAACCTAACGGGGCCTGTAAACCCCAGGCCTCTTGAATTCAAACAACGCCATGGCTAGTGCATAACGATATACTATGCTCAATTTTTCGTATATGAGAGGCTCGCGGGGCATAGGTCGCATCTAAATTAAACCCGGCATTCCAGGAGACTATCGTCATGGCCTGATTGGGATAGCAGGGCGAGTGGGAAGTCAGATCGAGCACGTCAGCGCTGGAAGCAGCGGAGGACGTCGCATGCCCAGCGCAGCTGGCAGCGCTGGAGGGTGAGGAATACGGCGTAGAGGGAGAAGAACTGCTTGCCCTCGCTACCTAAATTCTCGACTTGGCCCGTCTCGCGTGGAGCCGCAGCGCGTGGCAAGAGAGAGTCCCAGCCGAAGGCGAGGAAGACGAAAAAAGCCCTGCTTGGTGAAGCAATTTCGCGCCCACTCTGCATGGCGCCCAGGGGCGGCGGGAACGAATCGCGGCCAGACGGGGCCGGCGCGCCCGCGCCGCCCCAGCTGAGAGAACTTCCAAGCAAGACTTAGACAACACGGTAGACCCCTAACGAAGCGTGAGGACGGAACTGATGTAGTCGGCGTGCTCCTTCGAGATGCCGAGGGTAGCCATGTTCCCGTTATTGCAGTCGACCTCGGACTGGTTCAGCTCCAGCTCCTTGATCGTGTGCAGGACCACGCAGTCGTCATTCTCGACAAGGAAGTGCAATCCTTTGGGGCCCGGGCTGGCTAGCTTCATCGATGGACGCCACAAGTTATTGTCGCGCATGAATTCATGAACCTTGGTCCGAGAAACCAAAAACTCAGTTGCGGCGCCTAACTCCAGACGGGGCATCGAGACGGGAACGAAAAGGCACCTCGTCACTATTACTGTTGTCAGTCCATGCCAACCCGTGCTCCATGGCATTGTCGACGAAGGACCGTGCATGCATCGCCTCAGTGAAATCGATGCTGAAGGATTTGTTCATGTTATGAGTCTTGGCAGTGAAGGACGCGTCCTTGTGCGGCAGCAGCTTGCTGCCACGGAGAGTCTCCGAGAATGCGACCATGACTTTCGCAAGAACAGGACGAAGGAAGATACCGATGAAAACGCGGCAGGGGTTGGACTGGGGCTCATCGTCAGCAATCGAGATGGGCTTGGGAACGGCCGAAGATCCAACCGTGCGAGGACGCTTGGGGCGAGCACCGACGGATTTCCAACCAAGCCGCTCGCAGTGGAAACCGTGTCCGAAGATAGCGCTTGTACCTGGGCTGTGGCCTCGTCACACATGGCCTGCAGGGAGCGTATAACGTCGTGTTGGGCGAGGTTGGCCATGGCTGTGTCGCTTTTTGCCTGGAAGTCATAAGTCTGCTTGCGCATGATCTCCAGCTTCTGGTCGTGGTCTCGAAGGCATTCCTTCATGGCGCTGATGTCCTTCAGCTTGTCGTCTACCCCACCGAGTCGGACGTTGATCCCCGATATGCCCGCGAGGATCTGGGATAGCTGCTCGCCAGGAGAAGACATGACCGCAGCTGGGATTCGAAGGAAACCTGCCAGGCCTGAAGCTCAAGCAGGGGTTGGGAGAGACGGCGCAGTCCTGGAGGCGGGGCCCTCGAGCCAGCCCCTGGGCTGCGATCAAGCTATAACCTTGAGCCAACAATGCTTGAGCCAAGATGGCTACGTAAGAGGAGGAGGAGGAGGAGGAGGAGGAGGAGGAGGAGGAGGACGAGGAGGACGAGGAGGAATAGGAGAGGAGGAGGAGGAGGAGGAGGAGGAGGAGGAGGAGGACGTGGAGGAGGACGACGAGGAGCAACCATTTGTCCAGCCCCCCTCGCGCCTCGCTCCTCGAGAGCCTTCCCTCCCCCCCGTGTGGCCAGCGCCTCCAAGCGGTCCTCCGCCGTGTCCCAGATAGCGCGCGGGTTCCCCTTCTGCAGCAGGCTGGCCTCGTCCGCCGTGCCGATGCAGTGGGAGTCCTTTTCATCTGGGGGGCAAAACGATGCCCAGACCTCCGAGATTCGAAGTTCCCAGATTGCGGACGGACCGATTTTTCAATCGCGGCGATTTTGCTCTTCCAATTTTGCCTCTTGGGGGCTTTCTCGTACCCCAAGACAATCCAACATTGATCCGGGACGGAACACCCTCTCGGGGGAAGAGGTCAGGACTTCTGGGGCCCGCGGATTCAACAAACTAACACATCCGAGATCTGGGGTTCAGGGAGCAAAAAGACGTGCCGAGAACTCCTCCTCCCTCTCCCCCACCTGCTTGCTCCTGCTCCTCTCCTCCTCCTCCTCCTCCTCCTCCTCCTCCTCCTTCCCCCCCCCGTCCTCCTCATCACCCCTCCTTTTCCCCCTCCTCCCCCTCCTTCTCCTCCTCCTCGCCTCCTCGCTACTCCACCCTCCTTTTTCTTCTCTTCCATCCGTCTTCCTTATTCACCACGCAGTGCTTCCACTCACGATATCCAACTTATCTTCCTCAAGGTCATTGGTCGACATTCCAGGTCTTCGCCAGGTTGCCGCCCGTGCCGCCCCGTGGGCGCCGTGCGCCTGGAGGGTGTGCCGAAATTGCGCCACGTTGCCGCCCGTGATGCCTCGTGGGCGCCCCGTTCGCTGGGGGGGTCGGCCGAGGTTGCGCCACGGAGCGGCCCGTGCCGCCTTTCGGGGGCCTCGAAGGTACCCTTTTCGCTGAGGGGATCTGCCGAAGTTGCGCCACGTTGCCGCCCGTGCCGCCTCGTGGGCGCCCCGCTCGCCGGGGGTATGCCGAGGTTGCGCTGCGTTGCCGCCCGTGCCGCCTGGTGGGCGCCTCATGAGCGCCCCGTGCTCCGAGCTTGCACGACGTAGCTTCGACCACACAGCTTACACCGCATATACTACACAACGCTAGTTGCGTCGCGTAGCTTGCACCCCACACCGCCTTGCGTACACGACATATGTGACACCACTTACACCGCAGAGTTGCCACCTTTTCAGTCCACACCGTTTCGGCTACAGGGCATAGCCGGCATCGCAGATTTGCACCGTATCGATGACCCTCCACAAGGCAATACCGAACTGTTTGCGGTCCACGCTGGCTAACGTATGCCCTTCGTCCTTGCTGTACCACTGGACGTGTCGGTATTGCAATCTGGAAGGTTTGGGCTGCGCTCTGAGAGTTTCGCCTTTGACCGAATCACCATCTATGATCGCGTAATCTCCAACGCCGCAAATTCATACATATGGAGGGTGGGCTGTTTTCAAGGTGTGGGTCTCGCCTGAACGCCGCGCAAATCCGTCTTGTAAGTTTTTACCCGTCATGCAAGTGAAAAGGGCGGTTCTTTGTCAAACAGGGAATTAGGTTTGAGACGTCCACATGGTTCGCACCCCGACATGCCAAACGGTGAAACATCTACATGTCAATTGGGATTTTCGCTGCACACATCCAAATCGTAATGCCCATATGCCTGTACATGTGCACAACGGCTGCAATGATGAAGGGCGGTTAGTTCTCCCATCATCGGGCTCTCGGCGGAGACTTCCTAAACATGTGCGGCACGCCTTGTAAACTTGTAAGACACGTAATCGGATGATGGCGGCCCGTTTCCAAAATATGCTCTTGCAGGATACTACCTTCAACTTTCTGGTCCTATCGTGTTCGTCAGGGCCCCCCATCCCTGACATGTGAGGCGCCCGATCGTCTCCATGGACGCTTGTGCAACCCCTGGGGCATCCTCGTCGGCTGCTCGTCAACGTTGTTTGGCACCCTGGCGTTGTGGCTTTATTTCTGCGGATCCGTCACCTTGACCTTACCGCAGGGTCCTCCCGCCGCGCGCTTCCTCTCCCCTTTTTGCCTTCAACCCCCTATCGGTCGTCCCCTCTTCTGTCCGCGCGTTGACTTGCCTCGTTACGCCCCACCGTTGACCTGCCGCTGCTTGTACCCAAGTGGCCGCCGACAGACAAGTTCGTCAGGGCAACCCCTTTTCGAAGCGGGGCCCTCGCTTGCATGGTAGGCCCGTGGGGCGCTTTACTTTCAGGAGGATGTCTCCCGCCCCTGGGGCGGGAAGGTGTATTTCAACATCGCCAACGCATGCATCCCAGGTTCATTGTGGTCCTCCGCATGCTCCTCCTCCTCCTCCTCCTCCACCTCCTCCTCCTCCTTTCCCTCTCCCTCCTCTGCCCCACGCTCCTCCTTCCTTCCTTGCGCTCCCCTCATACCCTCTCCTTTTCTGTCGACCCCCCTCAGCATAGAGCGCACAACATAATTTTCAGCACGCCGTTTGCACCACACACACACACAAAGAGCCCAGAGACTGGCCACAAAAAGCCCAATATGCCCCCAAAAGGCTCCCAAGAGAGACTCCCGAAAACCATCGGGGACCTCCAAGAAGGCCGCTGGAGCCCCGCAAGAGGGCCTCATATGGTTTGAGAAGACCTCTGGAAGGTCCCAACCCCCCAAGACGGCCCAAGAAGCCCCCAGGACGGCCCAAGAGGGCCCCGGGACGGCCCAAAAGAGCACCAAAAACGCCCAGACGGCGTTCTCCTACGAAGTACATCGAACTGACCCGAAGATCCTGGTTCCACGCTGGAGGCTCGAGGTTTAAATTCCTCGATCGAGAGAGACAGGTCTCCCCCCCTTCTCCCCCCTTCCGCCTCCTCAGCCCCCCCTTTGCCCCTTTTCCCTTTCCCGTTCCCCGTTCATGGACAATTGCCCTGGCAACAGTTTGATGCTTCATCGTTTGCCAGCACCTTCGCGCGTGACAAAAACACCATGATTCCCAAACTTCTTCGCACAAACGAGCAAGCGTATCAGGCGAACGCGGTCTCAGCAAACACCTGGGATATCAGAAAAATGAACCGGTCGCCCGTCCAGGCCTCGAGGTCCCCCCGCTGAAGCAAACGATGATTTATTGCTTTGCCGGGGAAGCGTCCGGAACAAAACGCATGGCGCGAAACGCCAATGCAGTCTTGTAATGATGATACCAGAGAAAAGCCACAATCATAATCATTTTGGAGCTATCGGGCTGTGGGGCTATAGGACTATAGGGTTATAGGGCTACAGGGCCATGGGGCTATTGGCCTATAAAGCGATAGGGCTATATGGCTATAGGCCCTAGGGCTATGGGGCTAAGGGGTATAGGGGTATAGGGCCATAGGGTTATAGGGCTATAGGGCTAAGGCGATAAGGCTATAGAGCAATCGGGCCATAGGGTTATAGGCCTATAGGTAGGGCGATCGGGCTATAGGGCTACAGGGCTATAAGGCTATAGCGCTATATGGCCATAGGGCTATAAGGTTATAGGGCTGTAGGGCTATAGCCCTATAGGGCTATAAAGCTATAGGACTGTAGAGCTACAGGGCTACCGGGCACCCGGGCACCTGGGCACCCCTGGGCACCTCCGGGCACCCCCAAGCCCCCGGGCCGGCCACCGAAATCGGCGACGAACCTCACCTAACCGCATGAATCTGCTAGGACACCCCCAGAGGCAAGTTCTGTTTGGGGAGTACATATGTATATATATAGCATCTACTGCACTACACACATTGCTCCTCGTAGGTTACCCAACGTATACTACACCACGCAGTGCACAACGTACATCGCGCAACATATATTGAATAACTTAGCTGGCTCAACGTACATCGCACAACACAACTTGCACCACACAGATGGCACCGCGTATGTCGATATACTAAATATAATGCTTCCCATCGGTTGCGCAGCACATCTTGATACACACACACACACGCTTCGGGAAAAACGCTGGCTAACGTATGCATGTTTGCATGTATGTATACATATAAGACTGCAGTGGCGCTTCGCGCCATGCGCGCTTCCCTGGCGAAGCGAACAATCATCGCTTGCTTCAGCAGGGGGGACCTCGAGGCCTGGACGGGCGACCGTCTCGATATCCCTGATGCCTGCTGACACCGCGTTCGGCCGATGCGCTTGCACGCTTGTGCGCAGGAGTGGGGAAGGAATGATAACTCTTTCACGCGCGAAGGTCATTTGAGGAAGTAAAGAGCGTTCCCATGACACGCCGAAGAAGCCGCAGTAGCTCCGAACAAAGTGATTGTTGGTCGTTTTCCTGAATGCCTGGAAGGCTCCAGACACTCAGGAGATCTTCGATCGTCGAATTTCGAATCTAAACCCATTGCGTGTCTCTCTCGATCGAGAAACTTAAACCTCGAGCCTCAAGAGTGGAACCAAGATCGTCGGGTCAGCTCGATGTACTTCGTATGACAACGCCGTCTGGTCGTTTTGGAAGCCCTTTTGGGCCGTCCTGGGGCCCTCTTGGGCCGTCCTGGGGGCTTCTTGGGCCGTCTTGGTGAGCTGGGGCCCTCCAGAGGTCTTCTGAAACCATCTAAGGCCCTCTTGCGGGGCTCCAGTGGCCTTCTTGGAGGTCTCCCATGGTTTTCGTGGGTCTCTCTTGGGAGCCTTTTGGGGGCATCTTGGGCTTCTTGTGGGCAGTCTCGGGGCTATCTGGGGCAATCTTGGGGCCCTCTTGGGCCGTCTTCAAACCCTCTGGGGGGTCTCTTGGGCCGTCTTGGACGCTGCGAAGACCCCAAAAACGCAGATGCACTATACATACATGTATCCGAGGTTGGGGGGTGAGTTCGACGTGAAACGGAGACCCCCCCTACTGGGAAATCGATTTCGGTTTCGGGTTCGTGTCGTGCGTGCTGTGCGTGCGTGCGTGCGGGGCGAAGCTGCGTGGGCGGGCGAGAGGAAATCCTCCTGCGGCTGGGCCGCGGCCGGACGAAATGTTTCTCCTCCCGCGGCCGGTGGCCCGCGGTGTCCCGCTGGTGTCCCGAAATCCTCCTGTGGCTGGGCCGCGGCCGGACCAAATGTTTCTCCTCCGGCGGCCGGTGGCCCGCGGTGTCCCGCTGGTGTCCCGCTGGTGTCCCGTGGTGTCCGCCGTTGCTAGGGAGAAGTCAAGACAAATGATTCTCCCCCTCCCGCCCGTTCAGCGGTGGCTCGCGGTGTCCCTCGGTGTCCCGTGGTG